TTTTATAAAAACGGTGAAAATTTGTTTACCACACAGTTGTAAATTTTTAAGTGTTCGAAAATAAACTGTGTTCGCTGCGATAATGCGTTTGGCGTTATTGTCTTTAAAAAAATGTAAAATAAAACAATTATTGGACTCGGTGTTTGTGATATCCGGAATAATCAAGGTCTCGGTTATTGTTATCAGCCTCAGCCTTCCGTTTCGGCTGATACATGATAACACTTACGTCGTACCTCGGCCTTGATTATTCCGGATATCACAAAAACCTCATCCGATAATTGTTTATAATTAACAGGCAAAATTAAACTTAGAAGAAATCAAATTGAATTATTATTACCGGAGCCTAGAGGATAGACCGACAGAGGAACAGTTAGGTTCTTTAGTCTCTTTAAATTATCATTACTATCACTATTGTTATCACCACTATTATTATTTTTATCACTATTATTATTATTATTATTATCATTATCATATCATTATAATTATATTTACCATCTAATCATTAGTTGAATGTCAGTTAGTCATTATATCTTTGATCATTTTTCTTTTGTGGAACGGGGTACTAATTAGTATGTGGAATGTGGCAGCAGTAGCCCTTTGTACTCAGAAGAGCCTATTTTTGTTGTCCACGACTAAGTTTTCATGATTGTTCCATGAAGATCACCTTGAGTTAATTTGTTTGTTAGCCAAAGAGGTAAGTAACCACTCGTAAAACTTGTTGTCAGGACAATACTTTTAGCAATCTGAGTGAATCACAAATGCTAACTTAAGGTAAATTTAACCTGATTAGCATCGGTTTCTGGTGAGTTAGGATAGTGTTGAGTGTTTCTTGGTGTAAAGCCGTCAGACAAAATACAATACTATACAATACAATGCAATGTTCCTCATTTCAAGAGGGTAAATACATGATTAACCCAGTAAAGAGTTTTCTAAACACATGGCCCTCTGTAAGTAAACCCACCCATTCCACCCCAGAGGAGGGCATCCATCACACAGTAATCTCGTATGTGGGAAATTAACGTCTAACGTAAAAGTATTCCTTGATTCGGAGAATCTTGGCGTGCTTAATTAATCGAATAAAGTCCAACAAATTTTTAATCGAATTGAATGGTTGTGTTCGATTACTGAATTTTCGATTAACTACCCTGAGCGAAAATTTGATATCTAGACTTAGTTCGATGTGTTAGCTATGGGGCTAATTTATGAGTATGAAATATGAAGAAAGCACCTTGAGGACAAGTTAGCTAGAGTACTGTATTCTTTTGTTATCCATCATGATGGAGTGGTGTTTTGCCTTTTACAGCCAGCTTTATATCTCATATTGCCCCTGGATAATTGATTGCTTGAGCGTTTGTTGGATACGAGATGATAGATAGATAAACCTTCCCAACTTTATTTTTTAAGAAAATATGGAACCAGACATGGCTTGATGCTACTCTGCTTTAAGAATTTGTGAATGTAACTAGGGAATTAGAATTCATAGACCCAACGTTTCAACACTCCTGTCTAGTTCCTTCACTGATCAGGGGTGATCTAATTGTTGCAACAAGGGGTCTTTTTATATGCTCACTAATTAGCTGCCCCTTTTTCTGATGAGGTGAAAATAGGCATCTTGATGGATGTGAAAGGGCAAGGTGTGTTCCCTTTCTCAGTGTGTTAGCCCCTTAAATGAATGCACTTGTTCACAGCAGCCCCTTTCTAGGCTCATCAAATAAGTTTAAAAGAGGGGCTATTGAGGATGAATGAGGGTGTGCTGACAAGAACTGAGTGTTGATTGCTAATTAAGCTGCTTTTTCTTCTACAAGTCAAAGTGGATCTCATTTCTTAGAAGATATTAGTAAGTTTTATTCCTTACAATCTAGTATATTGCAAACTATAAATCATGATCATAGTTATTGAGTTCTTTATCTGTTAAGAGACATCATGTTTGAAGCAGCAGTTGTTCATATTTTCAGAGGATTTACAGACCTTGTATCTGAACTGCACATGTCAGCAGTGCATACACCATCATTTTTAGACATTGCAAAGTACCTGATTGTATTCCTGGTTGGTCCTTTGACTGCAGTGATTGCTTACGATTATTACTTTCCCATCTTTGCAGGAGTTAATTTTTATCTAGTAATAGATATTTGCACACCAATTATAACTCTCACTCCTACATTCATGTTTGCTTTCTTTCGTTATTTTGGTGGGCATTGGTTGCTTAATTGGCATCTGAAAAAGACTTCAAGATATCTAGATTTTTGCAGAATGCCAGGGGAGTATACAGCATCACTGTTACCTTAAGATACATTGTAATGGCAATATAAACTGGCTGGAAGTTCTGCAGATCATGGATTTGGATTTTTCCTTTTGCTGAATTCAAATTCAGGAATACTCCCTTGGTCAAATCCAATGATTGTGGAAGATGTGGATGTGAATGTGTTCTATAAGCCATTGCATATAAGCATGGACCAGTTAATTCCAACTATGCCTGGTTATTGCCATGTTGTCATGAGTGGATTTGTTGAAGATGCATTTTTGAAGGATTGTATTGTCAAACAGGGAAAACAATCTTTTCTTTCTGGGCGACTAGTTTCCCAGAAAATTGTAACAGAATTTATGGGAGGGGATGTTGAATTCAATTATTCAGCAATAACCTTCAAAACAATTTTGGATGGCCCTTAGGGAAAGTTTAGGTTTGATAGTGATGTTGTCGTGGCACTCAAGATTCATGACTCTGCTGACGTATTTTATGATTGGTGTTGGGGAGTGGAGGATATCTTCCCATTGCAGTTGCTTGACAGTATCAGAGCTGCAGGATGCTATGTAGTTCACAAGCATTGCGCAGGCAATCATTTATGTCATGATTTTGATTGGAGAATTACCTTTACACAAGCTGAGTCTAAACTCTTTGAGTATCATTCTAACAAGGCAGCCGTGAAACTGTGCTATGTAATCATCAAATTTGCAGTCAAGCAATTTAGCTAAGTGAAAAAGAGAAATTACCCTGCTTTAAAATCTTATCATTTGAAGACAGTTATCCTGTGGATTGCAGAGCAAAGTGAAAAACTTCTTTATGATATGTATTCAATTGACAGTAACAAAACGCTAGGAGGACTGTTACTCCATATCATTTCAACATACAGACAACATATTTTTCAAGGCCATCTGAAACACTATTTCTTGAAGGATAACAATATTTTAAAGCCTTATGAAGTTGAAGAGCACACTGTAGCAATGCATTTGTTAGATGAGTTTAAAATGAAGCCTCTAGCTATATATAGTTTCCAATTTTGACAATTGTAACATGAGTCGTTGGAAGTTTGATCAGTTTGTTATCATCAGTCTTCTTGTTGTAGTGGCATGCCTGTGGTTTAACTTTTACTACTCGAATGTGGGAGAAATATTTGAGCCTGTTCAAGAGTGTTGTTAAACAAATTTTTAAGATATGTGGTGTCTTTGGCATCATACTAATTGTAAAAATACTTCTGGACTGATGTTCACATGTGAGCAGAATTAGTAAGAAAGCCCGGTGAAGTTGTGCTAAATCAATAAAATACCCAGTAGTTGATATTCAGTGGATGATTTGTTGGTTTGTCCTTAAGCATTTATGCAGTGGAAATTAGCCTGGCCAACAAGTATGCAGAGGGACCAGAAGAAAATTTTTGCCATTTTGAAGGAGTTTAGGATCATACATATTGGGAGGAGTATAGCTGGATCTCCCAGTTTGCTGATGCTTAGGCGTTCACTTTAATATCTCTCCTCCCCACCTCACTTTCCATTTAAAAAGTGTACTGTGTTTTCAGAAAACGGGGTCAATCTCGCGTTCGTCCACTTCAACGAATGAAACACATTTCTCGCACTGCTTGTAAAAATTGGGGGAATCATTTCACTACCTGTGTCTTCCTCCAACGATCTCTGAAGTTCAACACCTGGAGTTTTCTGCGCAGAGCTATGAGCACTGGAGAAGCTTTGTTGTTTTCGAAAAAAACAAAAAAAAGCTGCTAAATTGAGGTTGTTTTGTATTAAAATCTCTTTGGATCCTCTTCTTTTTGCCAGCAAGTCTTAGAATCTCTTCTCACGATGTGTCACCACTATTTCATTGTAACTCTCCTTTTACAACTGTCCACCTTCGCGAACCTCGCCGGTAGAGATCTGTGATCCGCAGCATGGGAACTCTGCTTTCCTTTTATTTTTATCCGCTGCGTTTGACAATGCACAGTTGCCTTGAAGCTTTAAACGTTTATTTGGATTACTCTTGTAGACGGTATAATGTACGTGTAGTGTCAGCTTTAGGCACCATGAAACCGGCAAGGTTTTCTTCCTCGTCTATATAGGGGCTCATTATGTGAGCGGTGGATGAAGTCAACTTACTGAATTCAGTGATCTCAAAGCCTACTCTACTTACAGTTGTCTTGAGAGAGTGTGTGCGTACACGCCCCGTAACCTGAAAGCCTTCAGGAATGGACTATTTGTTTGTTTTGTACTTTTTACAACTGTAACAGAATAATTGTTCCTTTTAATCCTGAGTTATTGGCAACCCTGACGAGTTTAAACACAAAAATACTTAGACTGCTGAAAAAAGAGCCACACGAGGTACAAGTTACGATCGTTTGGCATCTATCATCAATTCTTTACCACGTCCAAGACAGCTAACACGCACTTGAAATTTCGCAGGCTTACATTTTCTTGGGGTAAGTCAAGATTAATTTTCTTTTCTTCATACAGTCAGTCCCAAAGGCGAAGGTTTACTGACCCTCAAGTGTCTTTTTAAGATCAACGCACAGTCAAGAAACCTAGCTTGGAAACGCTACTCCGCCCAAACGAACTGTTAATGCTAAACTTTTTATTCAGGGACATAATATGGTTACCATACACTGAGGCCACATCTTTTCTCTTTTTGGAGTTTCAACGGTGCATGGAATATGAACGTGAGGGGTTCGATTCCGTATTGGAACTCAAATTTCTCGTCGTTCCACGTTCTTCACATTTACTTGTTCCTCTCGCAGTAAAAATGTTCCATTGATTTTAGAGCCAAAAGCCACCTAAACAGCGACTGTACTTAAACCGACAGCACTCTCACTTCGTCTTTAAGTTACATAACAATAATACAAAAACAGCATTTTAACTTATACTTTAATTCAATAATTTATTGGCCTACACCTGTCGTTTTTCTTTCTGATTTCTTTCACAGGGTGAAAGAAAAGAAAAAAAAATTCGACCATATTGGTATCTTTTTAGAATGATTTCAACACTATGATCGTTCTATTTGACATTAAAAATGTGACAAGGCTCTCCATTTTCTTTTATTCTTCCATCGAACTGCTTTTCTAAAACGACACAATTTTATCATCGTCCTAACAGTAATTTCGAATTGTGGTTTTCTCCACGGAATTGACTACATCAGCCGTTTTTCATAGAATGGAATTTCGTTTCGGCTCAGAAATCATGCCCGTTTTAAATTGATCTGGATGGGAACTTAATGGATCATTTGTGTTGAATTTTTGAATCACTCACTACCATGATTACTGGTAACAACCAAGAAATAACAATTTTCTCTTGAATCAACTTATGCTTTGGTCCATGTTCCACGATAATTGGACCACGATTCTTCATCATCTCCTGGGTCCTTGTATTTAACAGTGTGTCTGTTATGATGCACTATCTCCCACTGGCCCATCCAGGGACCAATGATGGTGGTGTCAAAATCTGGATCTTCCTCGGGCTTAAGTTTGATTTCTTCCTGCAAAAAAAAAAAAATAATAATGATAAAAAAACAATGAGTCAATAATTCAATTTATGAATAAATACATTGAAAAATAATTTAACCATCGATGAATCGCGAAGAACAAAAGGCACGACAATGGCGTTCTTTTCTGTCAGTCCTTTTGCTTATGAAAAACCGATCTCTTTATTATCTCTGTTAGTTTTTGAACTTGACTCTTTCACGCCTGGGAGTGACTAGCATCTAATTTCTCCTTACGATATCACCCCCGTATCATACATTAAGGTCGTGAGAATTATGGAAATGATCACCAACTAAAAAAGTTCTCTAATGTTAAACGAATTTTCTCTGTCAGCATCTTAGGAAATGTATAGAGACTTGTATGGGGAATTTGCATACTGATAGAGTATCAAGGGTTAACGTGTTACCCATATCTTTGGTTACTGTATCCCGAATGTGGATAAAATGCTATTTCGATTCAAAGGTTAGTTTTGTTCTCTCACAGATTCCAACGCTATCTTCTGCCATATTGCACAACCGTTACGTCAATTTCGCGCCTCAAGTCAGGTCCTTTTTCTTTTGCTAAACTACGGACTCTTGTTAAATCCGTCTGCCATAACTAAATCCACTCAAGAGAGCTTAAACGAGAGAGAAAGTGATGTCACGTCCAATAAAATTTTGAAAGGATTAATCAATGTCGTTTCCCGAGGCTCTCGAAGGTCAGGAAAAGAGACGAAAATTCACGTGCGTAGCACTCTGACGGGCCTCACTGTCTACTACTCCGGCGTGGAAAACCGGTTTTTCACAAATTATAAAACATATACCTGTTTGTTTGTTCGTTAATAAAATCGCTTTACCTTCTCAAGTTTCATTTTCACCTCCTGATGACCTCGTTGTAACTCGGTCCTGTCACACGACGCAAACTCGGTCCAATCCACCGTGTAGTTCGGGTCCTTTGAGGTACGCAGAAGTATGTTTTCCTACCAGCAAGAAAATTAACATTAAATCTGAAAGCAAAAGTCAACAGTTCTGGACCAGAGACGAGAAGAATAATTGGAAGTGTTGGCTGATGAAAAAAACAAAGTTTATTTCTATTTTTAAGATCCCCTATCCCATTATTTCTTTTCCTCGAGTATCCTTTATCCCTAGAACTTTTATCTCGTATCTCGATAACCCCTTCGGCGGCCTTTACAGTGAGATTGTGCAGAAGAATGAAGTGCTGTTGGTTAGCCGGAGGGGTCTCTTTTTATCAGATGTTTTAAACGTTCGTCATTGTTGGTCTGAGGTGATTGGTTAAAACTGCCTTTTAAAGCGACTATTAACGGGTTTGCGTAAAATGTACGACAGTGCTGTCATTGAAGTTTTATGGGTAAGTAAATCATTCTGTATTTTTCTCCACAATGTCAGCAACAAAGTCTCCCTTTTAATGTTTCCAATCATGATACCTTGAGGCCATAAAACCCATTTGGCTTGTCAGGTCTTTGCCATCTTAGGTCCAAACTCCAACGAATTTTGTCTGAGAAGTTTTCTAAACTGAAAGAGCAAAAAATAACATTGAAACGTACGGGAAGAAAGAAACCGACACCATTCAAACTAATATGATATTAATTGAGATCACAAGGATTTGGAGGAAAAAAGAAAAAAGGCAAAAAGAACAAAATATCTCGATGGCAAACAATTCGGATCGGAACCATCACATTTGATCTAAAGCAATGTAGCGGTCCTAAGGTACAATCGTCTCAGTCTGTCGCCCGAGTTAAAAAAAAAAATCAGTCAGTGAAAAACAAAATTGGCGTTAGCGCGCTGACGTTATCAGACTCTCTCTAACAAAATTAATGATAAACACCACAGCGTACACTATTGAGTTATGGATGCACTTGGGAGGTTNAACACCCATGGGCAAATGGGGGACGCTAAATTGACCAATCAGAGCGCGCGCTTTACTTTGGTTAAGTTATAATAAAATTTTGATAACAAGATTCCGGATATACTTTACAGTTGGTCTGAAGATAAAGGGAAAAGAAGGAAATAGAAGTACAAACCTTCTGTGAGGGACTAGATTGTTGATAAACAAAACACCACCAAATGGAACTTCACAAAGAACGATGTCTTTTTCAAAGTCCACATCTACAGAACACAAAGGGAGAGGAATAAGCTTAAAATGCTCTTTAAGAGCATTTTAACATAGTGAGAGCATAGATATAGCAGGTATTGGTCACAAAAGGTTTACAAAATCTCGCACACTAGCTTTTGAAGCATTTTTTTCTTTATTGGAAGAACTGTTTTTTTTTTTTTAAGTCTTGACTTTGAACAAAGCCGTGTTGGAATATTGTACTTCCAACAGGCTGTTAAAAACTTATGACCAAAATGGGTGGGGGAGGGGAGGGGGGGAAGGCTGTTAAGTTTTTGAGAATGGAAGAGGAGGACAGAAAAGAAGAGAATGACTCTCTCCATTCCATTCTCCATTTTACTTTTTGGAGAAAATGGTGGGATCAGATTCCTAAACAGGAAGAAATCAATTACTGGTAAGCCATATTTATTTAATCATTGCAGATACCTGCTAAAATTACATCAGAATACTAAAAATATTTAAGACACTTTCATAAAGATTCCTTCATCCGCTCACTACCCAATAACTGGTCTACTTTTTACCTAAAGTCTTTCTCATTTCTTCTTCTGCAAGGTCCACATACCATGTACCTCCCGCACAACATGTGTGCGTTGCTAAGATACCTTTTCTATGACCTCCACGTGCTACCTTTGACAAAATATATTGGTATTTAATATTTTGTTATTTTATGATTAATTGCTGTGATAATAAAGGGTCATGAAGGACAAGCATCAGCATGAGGTTTCATGGGTGACTGTGATTAACAAAATCTCCCCCTTTGCAGCCTTCTGATTTTGTTCAACACTTTATTGATTTATAAAAACAACCCCATCAAATTTCACTCCACTCCTTCATTTCATACCATTATTCATAGTTTTCTCGGTGGTCTGATATCATTATATCATCCCTTAAACTCCAAGAAGTGATCATTGAACATGAGACTTCTCACTTATGTTGATACATCATCCAGCAACGATATGTGTAGCAGCTAGAGGTGAGAATATAGACAATCACATCCTTGGTATTAAATTAGGATTACTGATACAGTGTGTGGTTTAATTAAACCCCCTCAAAAAATTACACCACATGATTAAAAGGGCCCAGTTCTTTCCAAGAGCAGATAAAGCGTTATATCTAGCAGATAGTAATACCTGCATACAACCATTTGTCCTGTTGGTGTCTAGCAGTGGAATCCATGCTGTGGGTTGAAGAACTTCACAGGCTGCTGATGTCAGGTAGGCAGAATCTGCAGACATTTTGAAAATTAAAAACCTGAAGTGGATGTTACCAAGTTGAAGTAAGAAATCACAGTGAACCTCAGAAAGGTGGAGGTGGTGTGGCCAAGTGGTTAAGGTGCTGGACTTGTAATCTGGTGTCCCAGGTTCATGTCCTCCACCCTGCCACTCACTGGATTTATTCCCAGTTGCCACTAGTTCAACTCCTAAGCTGTGCTCAGTGGGGATTTTCAAGCACTTAGTTATTCTAAGTTGTGGCTGAAAAGCCCCTTAATGGGGAAGCTTCAATTAAGATATTTATTATTATCATTATTATTATTATATTATTATTATTATAAAGAAATTTGATAAGACAATCAGTGCACAGAAACAAATAATAATCACAATTAAGAAATCTTACATTTTTTGTATAGTCGTTATCGAATGTAAAAAAGGTGTCATTTCTTAATCTACAGACATCTTCCTACCTTGGTGCCAGGGAACAGTTACTTGAGAGTTTTTTGGAGTCTGAAAAACATATGCCTATGATAAGCTACAGCCTCCTTGGAGAAAAATAATGATGCCTGAGAATTTCACATCTGCTATGCAGTGGTGGGACATACAGTGCATCAAAATCACTGCACACACTATTTACACAATAAATTGAGGAATATCAAATAACTAAATAGTATGCAAGATGGTAAAAAGCCACAGGTTAATGACAGCTTTCCATTCATTGTACCTTTGTCCTCAAGTTCCAAACAGGGTGCCCAGCAATTTCGGGTCCAATAAACTGTTCTATAACATTCAGCAGCCTTTGGTTGGTCCACAGGTCTTGAAAAGCCTGATGTATGTTTCATTTAACTTGTCAGTCACTGAAATCACGTCTCTGGTACTAAAGATTTATTCATTTTGGATATATAATTATATACCTACTTTTGGCATAATTCCATTCTTATGCAGCAGAACTGCTGCCCCTGAGAATTCTTTCTCGATCAAAGTCAGTCTATCGTAAAATGTAGCATTCTTGTACTTGTCTGAATTGTAATGAAAATGGAACAATTTACTTAAAAAAGAAAAGGGGTAATGTTATAAGAAATGAATGGCAGATGTCAGCATGTAGAGAATCAATACCTAGATTTCAGGCAAAAAGATTATTAAGCTCTAGTTGAGGTCAAAAATAATACACTGAGGAAAAGAATTGGTGAAAGAAAAAAGATGTCCAGAGGCAAGAAAGTTGCAAACTTGTTTGTATATCAGTGGATGTACATCAATTTACACATTCCAGTTTCTGACTACACCTCCACCCTAACTTCTCCTCTCCTCTTGTCCTGTTTTTTTTTCCTGTGATTTTGGGAAAGGTTAAATTATGATAATTTAAGTTAGTGGTTTTGTGCCTCTCATGGAGCAAAGTTCATGGAAAATGAGAGGCCACCCTTGTTTTCCATGAAAATTGTAGGCATTTTCTGTGCAGCATAGATAGTTGAATATATGTCAGCTGTAGTTTAATGTGAATCAAGTTGGGTGTCCATTACACCCAAATTTATAGGAAAAGCAACTTCAGTATTGATGCCTGATTCATGCTTACTTTTGTTTACATGAAAAGAAAAGTTCCCCCTAACTGGTAGACTCCAAACCTCCCCTCTCCCTCATGACTTCGACTACCCCTTGACTGAGCTTGGCATTTATAGAGTTTGAAGTTTGGTGAAAAATGACCTGGGGCTCAGCTGGGCCAAATGATGGTTTCTCTAAAATCACTATGTCAGTCACTCTTTATGTTACAGGCAGAAGTTTTACCCTTGATTTTTCCAGCACTGTGGAGTTTTTCTGCCAGGTTATCCACTAATTCACATATAGCTGTGATGATGGGTTCTAATTCACTCCTTTCAAAGAATTCTGGAACCAATAGAAATCCCTGGATGTACACACACACACACACAAAAAAAAAGATGAATAATAAGAATTAACATATTGACCAAAAAAGACCCAATCAAGGCCAGTGGAAACACCCCACATATACGTATACATATCGGGGCCAATATCTGATCAGAGAAAAGAACTGCAGTGGAAATTGATGGATAGCTTTAATACGATGGCCATTCACAATTCTGTTATTAATTTGTATTGAGTTCAAATTAAAGAGAACTTTATAGGTTTCAATCAGGTTCGATGATCTAAATTAAATAATTTGAGAGAAACTCGACAGTCGCCAAATTGACACGAGTTATCACGAGGGTGTCTCCTCGGCAAAGTGAAGTGATGGGAAATGAAACGAGGAATTATGATAATAAGTTTCATAATCCTCTACAGCAGGGAGAAACCACAAAGACAGGATATTTTTTAATCCAAACAAGATGCGTCTGAGATAAAATTAATTGAGTTCGAGTCTCGGAAATAATTCTAGTATCTTAATGCTACCTCACTGAAATACTGTTGGACTTGTTCATCGGAGAGTTGTCCCTTCTTTTGCGCGGAGCTCCACTTTTCCGGAGGATTTGTAAACAGTTCTGGTTGGGCAGAAGTGCAAGCTGGCATCATTAGCAAGAATCGAAACAACCTAATAATTTCAATAACAATTCTTTGTCTACCGGACTAAAACAAAGAAAAGCAAATTAAAATTTCATGTCCTGTTTTCCGGATCACCTGAAATTTCTCGAGTCATGTGATGGGGCGTGACCAACATGCCACGAACAGGCTGTCACGCAATTTCATGACAAAAATAAATTTCTCTCGAGTTCAGCCTCTCATCTGATTTTTCTTTGAATGGATAACACCATGTGTAATACGAAACAAAATGTAGTACTTAGTATGGAGGGATCCACTGATCGAAAATTCCCGCATTAAAAAATCTACCCTGCCTTGGAGGGGGATGCATTTTAGTTTGTCTCAGAATAACGCTTTTCACCGCGGGCTCAATGATCGTAATTTGTAAACATGGCGTAAGGGAAACACTTACAAAATTGCATGCCATTGCAATTATTTTAGGTCAACAATGGACTGAAAATCTCACTTTTTTACTAAAATGAGGTCCTGAAATCTCATGGAATATGGGATAGGCTGCATTTAAGCGATGAAGAAATCACAAGGTAGGTATCGGAAACATATTTGATGAATGCTCCCAGTCTTTATTGATTTGAACCCGGTCTTTGAATGCAACGGGGTTTTTCCTGTTAAATACCCTTTTTCACTTTCGGAAGATTTTGCACTTTCCACTGCACCTTCCTCTATAGCAAATTTACCTGAAAATCATCTCGAGATAAGTTTATTCTGTTTGGCTAAACGAATGGTTGATATGCGCATTGTTTGAGTGGTAATGTTAAAATATTACTTCTTCCGTCGCAACTACGTGTATAATGTTAAGTAACTTCCAAGGACAGTCATCACCTTGTAAAGGTATTTTAGTTTCACTCTACTTGCATCGCATTTCTACTAAACTATCAAGAAGTAAACTAGACTGCTTGATGACCACTAGGATTTAAGGACAATTCAGACATTTATACTACACTGTTATCTTCCAGTGAAAAAATCAACAATTACCCGTATATGGTCTCTCGGTTACTTCAGTGCACTCACCTTAGTATATAAGTTAATTTACTTTTGGTAACTTTATTGTTGGATCAATATTTTATTTATTTCAAGTCTCTTTCTTTCTGTCGCAATGTTTTACTTTACTTAACTCGATAATCTTACTGTAAAGGAAAACAGTTTTTTAGTGACTCTCCAACTCACGTGGAAAATAAATGTTTTTTTGTTTCGTAATAAGAACTAAGTGATTTGAAAGAAAAATCTATCACTTTGTAAGGTATCATCAAGAAATATATCAAAGCTAATTTGAAAAGTATTCTCAATCAGAATTTAGCTATTAATCCATGGTGCTGCAATTGGATTGGTTCTTGAAGGAAAAAAAAAACTGTTTTCAGCACAGTTTTACTGAGCAGTAAGAGGACATAATGGAGGTGTTGTAATAAGTGCATGCTATCCTTCAGTGTGATGTATTCTACAACATGATACTTTGACTCACGCTCTTCCAGTCTCTACACTTAAGAACGTAAGTGGATACTAACAAACTTTGAGGAAACCTGGGGATAACCTATAATGGTTTAGCATCGCCATCCAGAAGAATTAGCAGTACAGTCTGATTGCTTTCATGATAAGGAAACTGGAATAGATCAACTGCCAGGCTTTACTAGACTTCCGAGCATTAGCCCTTCGTCATTCGCTCTGACAAAGGGCTAACGCTCGAAACATCAGCTTTTTTACTCTTTACGGAGGCCAATTTACAATTTCAACTTAGTTGATATTACCAGATTACCATGTTACCCCAACCGATACAGCACCACAGTTTCTTTAGAGACTTACTCCCTTTACTGGACTTTGCCTTCCTTTCAGGTGATGTCTGTGAAGTTGTGTTGTGTTTCCTGCAATATAAGATCAATTCTTTTGTTGTTATTTTAGATTTCGTCATTGGACGAGACACTGTTTTGGCAGAATTAGAACCACTGAGTGATCTGTTAGGCTCCCTCGTTCACAAGGCACAGTTTGGTCCCAAGAATTTGGTCGGCCATGTGTGGGACAAAACCAGAGAACATGGTGTGAAAAAGTTGTTTAACACATTGAAAGAGAGAGTGCAAGAGAATACTAAGTCAATTCCAATTGAGTACACGTGTGTGGATGTATCATTTGATGCAATTGTGCTTGGTACAAGTATAGGAGTGATCTTCTTGTACGATCGGACCTGTAGGAAGCTCTCAAGGTTGCCATCGGAGGTTAGTTTACTATGTTGTATTTGTTTTCCCCTAAATTTCACCAGGTTTTCATGACAATTTGCTGCTATCTAATGAACAATGTACAGGAATAGTCTTATTTAAAGAGATGAACCAGGACAGTAAAGATTCCTTCCCATAGGAACACAACACAATTACCTGCCGGGTGGAACCTGGACATTTCTATGCTTAGTCCAGCGCTGTGACCACCTAGCAAACACGTCTTCTTCCATATAACAGAAAGGGTTTCTAATAATCAATCTTTTGCAACTTTTCAGGTCACTCATGAACCAGCCAGATGTATAAAGCTCTTACCTACACACAGTTATACAGCCGTGGGATTCAACAGTGGTTTAGTGACAATTTTCGCATTTGTTCTGGCATCACAAGGGTTTGGAAAGGTAATTTTTATCATTGAAACAAAAAAAAACTTGGCCTCTTACCAGGTTTAAGTCGCAAAGTAACCCCTCATTTTTCATTGGATAGGGTGCTTATTTACCTCTACTTTGGTTCCACAATTGAAAATGATGGTTTGTTTGCAATGATTTCTCTTTTCTATTCACATTCTTTGTAAGTCAATTGATTCAAATGAATGTATTGAATTTATACTCCAATGTTCCTGCACAGCCTCAGACACTGCTTGTAAGCGGAGCCCATAACAGTCCAGTGACCTGCCTGGAGTGGTCCCCTGATGGTGAGCTGCTCTACACTGGAGATGCATTGGGCACAGTTTTTGTTACAGTTTCCAACTTCCACAAGGTAATTTGATGCTCAGAGGTAAAAGCAGTTGAAGTCTGGGTAAGAAAGAGTTTGGCATCCATGCCACAGAGAATGTTTTAATTTGAGAAAATAATTGATGAATGGAAAAGTTGACTTTCAGACTAGTGGCTTACTCTTTGGGCCCTTATGTATGTGTTCTAGAAGGTGATTAGACTCTCAATTCTTGTTGGTGATATTTTTATAGATGGGTTGTGGGAGATATAGTGACCCTTGGGGGTGTGGTATGTATCTTTGGTTGGATTAAACTAATGGTTTCTTTCTCTCTTTACCAGGGTTTGACCCAGACAGCCATGATGTTCCAGGAAGCATCTCCCATTGTTCAGTTGTCATATTCATGGGAAGCCCTTTTAATTTCATCTGAGAAAAGAACAGTTTTATGGAATTTTAGCAATGAACAGATTACTCAGATTGGGCAGAAGGAAAGGAAAAGGTAATTAAAGTACATTATTTTGTAAGGGTTAATGATTTATTGATATATCCTAATTGTAGATTCCTTAAAAAAATATTGCAGTTATGGGATCAGGCAGTGCCAGTTAAATGACTTTAAACCAAAGTTATCATTACTAGTAAATCAAGATAACTTGGTTTTATAAAGTGATCCAAAATGAAACACAGCGAATATATGAAATTCATATATCTGAACTGCGGTTATAGAAACGTATTTGTGCACGATCCTCGCAGCAAAGAGCACTGTTTAAGCAATCAGACTCGAATTAATTTGATGACCTGCTCCCAGTAGTTGGCTTGTTAGCTCAATTGGTAGAGCGCTGCACTAGTATCACAGAGGTCAGTGGTTCAA